AACACGCGCAGTTAGTAATTTCTAAATGTGTTCACCACCAATCATATTTTGAGTAAAATTATCAACAAAAAATGTTTTTCCCGTGTACTTTTATAAAGAAAAAAGCAATCCAACTTATGTCTCGGTCGCTTGAAGAAAAAATGGCGTCGTCGCTTCCCGAGGCAGCAGTCATTGAAGGGCGGAGTCCAGACAATTCGGCGGGTTTTTTATTCTGCACTTTTAGTGTAAAAGTGAAATTACACCATATAACAACACTGAACACGAGTGCTGTTTAACACTGTAGATTGTTAATTCAACTCTTTGGGAATTAATAGCTTTTAACACTGCAAATATTACACTGCTGATTTTACTGTGTGCCTTTAAACCACATGTGTCAAAGTCCGGTCCTGGAGGGCCACTGTCCTCGCAGATTTAAGCTCCAACACAGTTTCTGGTAGTTTCTAATGAGTCTGAAGACCTTGTTTAGCTGGTTCAGGTGTGTTTTCTTTAGGGATGGAGCTAAACTCTGCAAGTCACTGGAGACACATGACACAGTATGCTTATATACAAAGATGTGATTATTTGAATAGCCTATCTGAATAAACTTTTGTTTCGATTCAGTGGTATAGAGTGTGCCTCAAACTCCCAAGTCAAATGATTTCAGCAAGCGAAGTGTTGTTACTTCATACTGTTTCGAAACTTTTTCGTTTCTGTTCGTCCTTGCAAACACAAAAACTCACGACCCGGTGTCTATTAAATGGTTTTAACTGATCTCTGGTCAGTTTTATAATGTAGATTCAGTTTGAATCATTTTTAACATAATAAAAAGGACACGTTGATAGTTTGTTGTTTTTAATTGGTCTAGATAGCCATGTTCTGCCTAAAAACTCATAAAATATGCACTACCACCAATTAATAAAAGAACACACATTACACAGACACTTCATATTTGATGGTATTTGATGATTTGTAAATAGAATTTTAAACATTACACTTACAAGAAAACAGTTGCAGTTGTTTTGTAACGTTTTGGCTTAGTCTATAATCCATAATAACTCTTCCTCCAGTGAAAAAGTGCATCTCCTGTTGTCTCTCACAGAGCTGTTTAGAGCTGTTTAAACGCTGCTTGATCTGTGCAGATTTCTCTCCTGATTCAGACCGGAACACTTTTTCACTGGAGGAAGCCTTATTATGGATTATGGACTCAATGTATTTTAGTTAAAAACGTCTTAATGATGGATTGTTTATTATGGATTATGGACTCATAATTTAGTTAAAAACATCTTATTTGTTTCAGCTTTTGTCTTCTCCAGATGTTAACTGATGGACTGGAGTGCTGTGGATTACTTGTGGATTATTGTGATGTTTTTATCAGCTGTTTGGACTCTCATTCTGACGGCACCCATTCACTGCAGAGCATCCATTGCTGAGACACTGATGCAGTGCTACATTTCTCCAAACCTGATGAAGAAACAATCTCAACTTGGATGGCCTGACGGTGAGCACATTTTCAGGCAATTCTCATTTATTCCTTTAAGTAAAGTGCTGACTGAGGTGAATTTTTGTGCCAAAAAAATTAGCCCATTAAAAAGGTCAATATGTAGTGATTAATTATGATCAGTAAGTATTTGGATCAAGTTTGTGGTCTGGGGGATTCCTGACAGAATCAGCTGTAGACTTTGTAAAAAAGTAGATGATACTTAATGTACCAGTTAATGAGACTAAGCTTGGTTCTTGCAATTCGTTGAGGCTCTTTGATCTTCTTAGCTGAAGTTTTGTTGATGAGAGAGAACTGGTTTGGTGCAGAAAGTCTTGATGAATGGAAAGACAAGGCCGCAGCCTGGCAAATCTCTCTCAGACAGTACATGATCCGAGTTTCATCTCCATAGGGAAATCTCAGTTGTCCAGACAATGATTCATCTTTTCTGAACTGTTCAAATATTGGTGTCCACCGTTACAGCTGAGAATTTTAGTCCACACTCTTTGTATCTCAAAAAGGTAATTGCGTTTCAGCGTCAAGCAAACTTAACTACCAACTGTTTACCTTTTCATGAGAGTTTCGGCTATAATCTGTTTGTATGCTTTGTGTAGTCTTGCAGTCCGATAACTCTGAATGTGTAAAAAATAAAATAAAGTTATTCTCAGATCAAGATCTTGATTCTGGCCTTTTTTTTTTTTAAATCAAAATGGGATGGTATGAACTAATTTAAGAGAAAATATACATTTAAATTTTAAAACTGTTCTTTACAACTAACATGATTGCCTTCTTTATTATATTTGGCCCAAGTATGTAGACACTTGACACAATAAAACATGTATAAATGCATTTAAGTTAGCACTCAGAATCTGCATCTGAAGTAGCATTGGATTTACAGACTGGGATCAAAAGGACTACGAGCTGGGACTCTATCTGGAAGTCTATTTGCTTTGAAATAAAATTAGTATTTTAAATATAAATTATGAATATGGAAATATGAAATGGGAAAAAAGATTTTTTAAATGATTTTAAATAGGAAACTGAAACCACCAGAGGGTGGCAGCAAGTCGCTGTTTTTAAGAGATTTTAATTATTATTATTTTATCCATTTATTGCATTAAACTCACAGAGCATTGCAGGCTAACACATAAAAATAAATCCTTACATACTGAGTGACAATTATTAATAATACTTACTACAACAGAGAAACAAAAAGCAAAAGAAAGAAAAAAAGAAAAAGAATAAAATTAATTTATGTATTTCAGAATCTCACATTAGTGAATGACATTTTTTAACATAAGAAGTAAACCGTTTATAACAACGTTTACACTTTAGTTTTCCAAAACGACTCCCATTTTCACCATATCTCACCAAAATAGATTAACTAATTTACATAAAATATAAATGACTGCCTCTCGACTTCATCTGCTGGTGTCGCCGTTGGACAGTCTTTTTTGATTTACACTGATTTACACACGGTTTCAGCTCATTTCATAATATTCATTTTGTTTTATTGTTGGATTTATACTTCTGTGCGCTGTGCGGTAGTCCTATTAATTAATTTTGAGTGGAAGCAGAAACATGCTGTTTTAGTGCATGTCTCTTTAAATGCAAATGAGCTGCTGCTCCCCGCCCCCTTTTCCAGAATAGAGCTGCGCCATTACAGCTCGGACCTGCTAAAAAAAACACGCATAAGTTACAAAAACACAGTCGGTTATGGTTGTGAAGTAAACATCTGGAAAAGGAATCGCATGTAGATCTGTGTATTAAGTGACATCAGCATAATATACTGTACCTATACTGCTGTCTATGCTATTAATATGACCCAAAGAATAAAATAAAAGCAGAGAATCACTTGATTGAATAATGTCTATAGCCTTAGTAAGAAGACATTTCTTACTTGAATGCTGCTTTTAAATGCTCTAGCGTGCAGATAAACATGGCAGATTGTGTGCGGCTCACTCAGGGCGGGGTCTCTGCTAGATTACGGCAGTGTCAATCAACAATCGTGGGTGTGGCTTGTAAATTGTGACGTCACACTTTACGGATTCTGTGATCGGCTTGCTCTGAGACGCTGCTTATGATATATGGAGATAAAAAAAAAAGGAGCAAGTGGATTTTTATCATTATAGGGTGGTTGTGTACACACACTGCCAACACACATTTATGTCCAAACAACATGTGAAAGTGAATTTTGCTTTAACACCGTCAAAGAAGACATTAAGGAAATATAAGATACGGACTATAAATGCCATTTGTGCCATACATTAATTTTTATTGCTAAAAATCATCCAATATCCTTGTTATGTTTTAGAATGAGTATATCAAAATATGCATAAAAACAAAAATGTATAAAATATTTCTCAGATAAATATTTTAGAATAGAGCTGATCTCATTCTTTTACACTGGCCAAATAGTATTTCAGTTGTTTTAAAGAATTCAAATCTAACAAAATTTCTGCAGTTTAGCTGATGAGGTGAACATCTTTTAGCTATTTTTAGTGGAAACAGATAAACCTATATTTATTGCAGTGTAAATACAATTGGACTCGGCGCATCATTGACGAAGTATTTTTAAAAGGAAATATGCAAATCTTACTGTTTTCTTCAAGTTGTATCCTTCATATACATATCGTATTCTTCATAATGTTTTTGAGATTCCTTCACATGCCATTAACATCTCCGTGCAGCTGCGGCTGTACAATAAATTATTATCATTGCTCCTATTCAATCCGGACAATGGACCGTTCGACCACTGAATCCAGCAGTGTCCGCCACAATATCGAAGCAAGTGCGCATCATTGATCATTGTTCTCGCTAAAATATTTTCTCATGACATGAGATCTGCAGTTTAGTCTAAAGATTAATTATTGTGCACCTATAGCACTCCTCGCTGTCATTAAAAGAGGAAAAGTGATCAAGCGCATCCACTACAAATTAGGGCCGGGCAAAAAAAATTGATTTTTCGATTAATCGTTTTTTTAAATGACGTTGACTTTGTAATTTCAGTGCTTATCTCCAACAATAAGAGTGGAATATATAATGTAAATGTGTATATTGACATGAAAACAGTTTAAAATAGTTGTTTTTACATTAATTTCCTCACTCCAGGAAAAAGAGTTTGTACGCATGGGGTTGGGTACCGTTCACATTTTAACCGGTACGGTACCGGTATCGGTACCTGAATTTCGAAAATTATTGTTTTAATTTTTCTGAAAATCAAATGAAGGCATTATTATTATTATTACATTTTGGCAAACAAACTGAGGTATACTGTTGAAATTAATAATGGAAGAAAAATTGTGTGAATATTCCTTTAAAACATTTTTTAATAGGCCTTCGAATTAAGTGGCTGACCTACTTTTGATTTATTCGTCCAAAATGGACAAATTCCGTGGCATTCCGCGCTATAGAGTAAATTACGTTTTTATGAATGGACTCCGCGATCCTGTCCGCGTTTTCACAGAAAACATATGGACCTAGAAATGTAACCACACTTCAGAACATTTCGGCTTGCCCTGTGTGTTGTTTGAACGAGTCTCTCTTTCTCTCTCTGTAGCGTATGCGCCCAGATGCGTTCCCAGGTACAGAAATTTGGCACCGATTGATTTAACGTGAATCGGTACTCGGTAGTACCCACGCAATTCGGTCAGTACCCTTAAAAGTACCGAGTTTGGTACCCAACCCTAACGCATGGGTCAGAGTTTGCGTGCAGCTGCGCAAATTTTCCCGTCAAGTTTGTTTTTGTAAAATAAAAATATATTAACACACTTGTAAGCTTTGAAGTGCTTCTGGGTCATCAGTGAGGAGCTCGATCTGAAATGGTGACCGTACCGTCATACCCGCGAGCGAGAGGTTTCACCCTGACCAGCTCCTGTTTACATTTATTGTCAAGTGTGTTGGGACTGGAAGACAAACATAGATACATAATTTCTCCTGTAATTAATAGTAATTTGCCAGACATTACATTTCTTGGAATAGTGATAGACTCTACTATATGTACAAAAAAAGGTCTGACTAAGGGTGACCAAAATGACCGAAGTCATGATTTGAGTCATTTTCTATCACACTAGCAATATACAGGACTGTATTAAGCAGTTCTTGGGCTTGGTTCAGAACCTTCACCTCTGGCCCCTCCAGAACACCACTGGAGACACAACAACGGCAGACGCTCGCGCTGGTGAGTGCTTATGTGAGGTTCAGAGTCATAAAATCTGACGAGAAATAGTGCAGTCATCGGACAATGATAAAACTTTCTAGTGCACATATATAGTACGTATACTATAAAATGTATGTATCATTTCAGTGACATAATTATCACAAAGCAGTTGCTTATTTGCATGTATAATAATATTAATGCATATTGTAATTGTCTATTTATCTTGATATTTTAATAAAACATGTTGGATTATTTGAACTACTGGTATCAAAGGTTGGTACACATGCATCAGAATATTTTCTCACTTTAGGAACAAATCTGATTGTTTGTGCCCGGTTTTAGGCCATCCGGGCTTTGTTTATCTATGGAGAAGCACAGCCAGTTCCTGACTGGCACCAGCTCTGGATCTGGCCCAGAGTTTTAGAGGGTCTGGTACTGGTCTAGGTCTTAATTTGAACTCTGCGTACAACTTGAAGCTTGTCATTGCAGCGCTGTTGGCTTTGTTTTTTAAATGCACCCAGACGTTTGCAGACATTTCCTCAGATCTCATAGAATTTGAGCAGCCGTTATTGATATCCACACCACCAGTAGTGTAAGACACGTGGACGTGAACAAATTGTACCATGTTTAAATCCACTGCATACAGAAACCCAGACACTGATGTTTTCAATAATGCTCTGAGATCAAGAATAAAGCTTGCTCCATTGAAGAGACCAGTTCCTTTGTATTTCACCTTTGCTGCCCGGTGCTTTCTAAACTGTGTTTAAGTGATTCACCCACGTTAGATGATTCATCCTTGACTGTTAAAACACAATTTGAGAGCGATCAGTAATACTCAAGCTGCTGATACAGAAACATCATA